GAGAAAATGTTTTGAGAATGATGTACAAATGCGCTTTACACAATTGATGTGTGTATGGATTGCGATAACAGTTGTATGAGCCTCTAATAAAATGTTTAAAAAATAATAATAATAAAATAAAAATAAAAAAAATAAAAAGGAGACTCCTGCTATAGCTAAGTTAGACCTTCTTTGCCAATCTTCGATAGCTGGCAATTTGTCAAAATGCTTAAAAATTTTCTTTATTCGTGTTTGTTTCTTTTCCTCCTCTTTTCTGATGATGATATTTTCCATTCAGTCCCGTGTGGCATAGTATGTTATATGGAGTGCTAACCACAAGGCCAACGGTTCGAACCCCCTGGAAGCTCTTCAGGAGAAAGATGAAGTTTTCTGCTCCTGTAAAGACTGACAGCCTCACGACTCAAAGGGGGTCCTTCTCCTCTCCCACAGAGGGTCACTAGGAGTCCGAATTGACTTGATGGAACTAAGTTTTGGGTTGTGTATTTATTTATTTACTTACTCTGGTACTTGTGGGAACAGATTGTCTTAAGACGAATTCTGGGAAAGAAATACCTGCCAAAGTCTCTGAATACGGAGAGATCGGTGCTAAATTCCCGAACAGAGAACCTGGAGCAGAAGCTGCCCAGGGCTGCCGAGCAACAGAGTGCAGTGATGCGACAGGCTGAGTCTCCTTTTCTTCTCCAAGTAAGGCAAGACCACCGCCATGTTCCCCAGTCTAGGCAAGGCCCTTGGGAAAGAGTTGAGAAGACACTGAAGGTCTGACCTTCAATAAGATAAACCCTTTCTCCTCCTGTCCCTGGGAAACTGCTGAGACACAGCATGCTGCAGGTGTTCAGTAGACAAGCTGGCTGAAGTATCATTGCTTCTTTATCTGCCTTCAAATACATTGTCACCAAATCCTGTGTGGAAGAACTCGTCATGGGAAGCAGGGTACATGACAAGAACTGCATATAAATAAAGTCCGGGCCGTGGAGTCCATACTGCTCAAGCCCCCACAGCCTCACCTCTGTCATCTTATCTCTTATATCTCAATCTATCTTTCTCAACTGCAACCGTGCCCCTCTTTACCCTGGCTCCACTTGCAAAAGAGCTGGTTTCTCACCTCAAAGGTATTTTCCACAGGGTCTTTTTATTTTTTTACATCTTTTATTTGTTAAAAGATCTTTTTTTTTTTTT